CTGTAGCGTCCGCCAGTCAGGGGGGGGGGGCATGGCTCTGTGCATGTTTTAAACTGGTTTTATGGCATTAATTGTTATTTATTGTCTGATTGACTGATTCTATTAAATTTATTGTTGCGAGCCGCCCCCAGCCCGCTTACAGGAGGGGCGGGATATAAATCTAAATAATAAATAAAAAACTTCCCAGGTTCAATCCCCACCATCTCCAGTTTAAAGGGTGAGGTCGGAGGTGATGGGAAAGACCTCAGACTGAGACCCTGGAGAGCCACTGCCAGTCTGACGGACAGTGCTGACTTTTGACATGCCAGTGGTCTGATTAAGTACAGCCTAACGTGTAAGCTTGTGACAAGACTGCAAGACGATCAAAACAGTCAATCCTAAAAGAAATCAACCCTGACTGTTCCCTGGAAGGCCAGATAATGAAACTGAAGCTCAAATACTTTTGGCCACCCAATGAGAAGGGAGCACTCCCTGGAGAAGAAGACCCTGATGCTGGGAAAGATTGAAGGTCAAAGAAGATGGGGATGGCAAAGGCTGAGATGGTTAGACAGTGTCATCGATGCAACGAACATGAAGTTGAGCCAACTTCAGAGGATGGTGGAAGACCAGAAGGCCCGGCATGATCTGGTCCATGGGGTCGCAAAGAGTCGGACTCGACTGTGCAACTGAACAACAACAAAAAGGTGTAAGCATGGGGAAGGGCCGTGCCTCAGTGGCAGAGCATCTTCCCGGCACACAGAAGGTCCCGGGTTCAGTCCCTGGCACCTCCAGCGAAAAGGACCAGGCCGGAGGTGATGGGAAGACCTCCGCCTGAGACCCTGGAGAGCGGCTGCCAGTCTGAGTAGACAATACTGACTTGGAGGGACCAAGGCTCTGATTCGGGATAAGGCCGCTTCATATGAACCAGATGGACCTAGCTGTCCGACCCAGTTGAGAAAGGGAAGGGAAGGGGGAGCGACAGGCTGGGCTTTAATTCCCAGGTGGGACCACCGGACTCTTGTCCTCTACTATTCTCTCTCTCTTGCCAGTTCCTCCTAGAGCTGGAGGCTGCGTCGGCGCTGGGCCCCGAACCCGCCCAGTTCCGCTGCCTCCTCTGCAACACGGACGCTCCCAACCGCCTGCTGCTGATCCAGCACCTCCGCTCCGCCCAGCACCGTGACACTCATGGCCAGTGGCGCCTTCAGCTCCTGCAGAACGGGGAGGGCACCCCCAACCTGGAGAGATACGTCTGCCTCGCCCCCGCGAACCCCGCCGGTAACTGCCCCGTGGACTGTGCAGGTACACGTGGCCGGAGGGCTACGACAACATGGACGGCCACGTATCTTTAGTGGGGGGGGCGTGGTTGGGGCGGGGGCACCAAAGGGGGCCGTCCTCCAGGAGCCAAGACGAGGTGCAGGGAGAGGATAGCAAACCGATGGGTGTCCGCAGAGGGGGATTAAGGTCACACCGGCTGCGCGGGGCCCACATCCTCCGCCATAACGCCATCCCGCGGCCCCCTCGGCTGGGCGCGTAATGCGTGCCTGTGTCCGTGGATACTGAACCGCGAAGCCGCCGAACGTCGTTTCCTCCTCCTCCTCCTTCCTCTTCTGCCGCCAACCTCCGCCCCCCCCTTCATAATGGATTATGACAGATACTGGGGCTGTTGCCTAGCAACCCTGGAGGAAGAATGAAAGAGAAGAGAAATGAGAAAGATTCCCCCCACCCCAGCAAGTAGCTGCCCCTACCAGCCTCCCCCCACCCCACCCCACGCCCTGGGGAACCCTTCCAAGCGATGCCAGTTGGCCCCGTTCCCAGCCTCAATTTATCTTTCAGAACACCGTTGACCCAGGGCAGGTCCCTCCCTGTGTACAGGAGTCAACAAGGATCAGGCTTCTGAGATAAAAAGGGGAAATGGGGGGGGGGAGGGATGGGGGGGGGAGTGATGGAAATGGGGAATGCGGCAGCCGGGGCGTTCGGGAAAGGGCGAAAAGCGCCAAGGCCGGGACAAGGAAAGAATATGGGTGACACTGTGGAAAGCGGAAGGCTAAAACAGGGATGATTTGGAGGGTCCTGCGGGGAATGCTGGGGGGGGGGATCCAGAGACTCCAAGGGAGCCGGGACCCCCAAGAACTGGAATCGGAGAGGTGTTTGGGGGGGGGCGCACGCGGGGAGAGACAGACGCCCTGCGCGGTGAGAAATGGAGGTCTTAACATCTTGGCGGGTGTATTGAATAGTGTTAATTGAGTTGCCGATGGCAGCGAGGTTGCTACTGCCGGGCGAACCCGTTCGATATTAACGATCCCACTTGGGTTGAGAGTTTAATTAGTATCTGACGAGGATAAAAGTCCTGGACCGTGCGTCATTCCCCCACAACGTTGTTACGGAATTCCCCTGTTCGGTCTCTCTCGGAGTACCTTTTCTTGGGTTCCCCACTTTTTCAAACTCCTAAATGAAAGAAAAGAGATGAATATGAGCCCAAAGACAAAAATGTCCGGGCCTTTAGGAAGTTCCGAGGGATATAAGCAGCCCCGAAAGGGATTGGGGGGGTGGGAGGGGTGTTATATCAGTCGCAACACCTGGGGGGGGCACTGCCCCCCTTTTGACTTCTCGTTTGCCTCCCTCCTAACCTCTAGGGAAGGAAATGTTGACGGAAAGCCAGTCCCCAGAGAAAGAAACACTGCATAAAGCCCAGATGCCGGGTGAGTGGGGTCTCTCTCTCTTACAAACCATACCCCGTTGCATGTTTCTCCCACACACATAGAGTTCCCCGTGAGCAATATTCCCTCGAAGCTGTGGAGTCTCATGAACCAAAATTCTACTTTGTGAGCTACTTGGCATTAAAGTTGTGAGCCAGCGATTTGGCTGCTGCATAAATCAGTTTGCTTGGGAGCCCCATCCTTCCTGAGCGAAGGCGAAAAGGTGTGAGCCGGAGGCTAAAAAACTGTGAGCTAGCTCACACTAACTCAGCTTAGAAGAGAAGAAGAAGAGATTGGATTTACACCCCACCCTTCACTTGGAGTCCCAGAGCGGTTTACAAATTCCTTTTCCTTCCCCTCCCCACAACAGACACCCTGTGAGGTAGGCGGGGCTGAGAGAGCTCTGACGGAAACTGCTCTTTTTCAAGAACACCTCTTATCAGAACTATGGCTTGCCCAAGGTCATCCAGCAGGTGCGAGTGGAGGAGTGGGTGAATCAAACCCGGTTCTCCCAGATTAGAGTCCGCGCACTTCACCACGACACCAAACTGGCTCTTAGAGGGAACACTGCCCATGAGTCCAGCCCCCAATTCCTCCTGCGCTCGTTCCTCTCCCAGTTTCGTTTTTTTAAAAATCCTTTCCCCTCAGGCAAGCCCCGTCATCTCCACCCCTACCTCAGTAACCTCAGCAACACCCTATTGAAAAACTCACAAAAATGCCACGCGTGCTTCTAAAGGACCCTGGCACAGGCGTGGAGTGCCCCCCCACATCACCAGGTTGCATTATGTAGACCCCAGACTCCTTTTGGAGGGACGGGTGGCTCAAATTCTGTGGAAGAGTGAAGGGCCACACGAGTCGCAGACCAAACCCGGCAGTCCTTGTGCCTTGTCTCCCCCACCTAGGAAAGTAGGGTGGGTTTCTGTGGGTACACAGGCAGGGTGTGGGGCTGGCAGCTGGGTAGATGCCTCCCTCCCCCAACTCAGCAGTCGGGGCCGGTTCACGGTATTTTCTTGCTCTAAGCAAAGGACATCTTCCCCTCCTGGGCCTGTGCCCTCACCAGCTGGGTCCAAGCCCAGCCCAGCCCAGCCCAGCCTCTGCCAAAGTAGTCCGGCTTGGAAGGAACCTGCCGGGGCAGCAGCCGAAGGACCGCCCTGTCCCTGAAGCTCATCTCTCAGCACGCGGGCTGAGACCCAGGTTCCTCTCTCCTTCTGCACCCCCCTTTACGATGCCACGTCTCCACATTCACATTCTTGACAATCTCTCCCCCCACCCCCTTGCAGGTTCTGACGAGACTGAAGGCAAAGCCGGAGCTGTGGGCAGTACCACGGTAAGTGGGGCCGGGGACATTTCTTGTATAGATGGCTACGCAGGGTCAGCCATGTTTAAGCATTTGGTAGGAGACTATCGAGGAAGGCCAGGGTTGCTGTTCAGAGGTAGACCATGGCAAAGCAGAGGTCCATCAGTGGCCACAAGGTATAGGCAGGAACTCTCGGTCTGGGGCCAGTGATGCTCTGTATTCTTGGTGCTGGGGGGGGGGAAGTAGGAGGGCTTCTAGTGTCGTGGCCCCACTGCTGGACCTCCTGGTGGCACCTGGTATTGGTGGCCACTGTGTGACAGAGTGTTGGACTGGACAGGCCATTGGCCTGATCCAACATTGGCTTCTCTTATGTTCTTATTGACCTTCTGATGCCACCTGGTATTTTTGGCCACTGTGTGACAGAGTGTTGGACTGGACGGGCTATTGACCTGATCCAACATTGGCTTCTCTTACGTTCTTATTGACCTTCTGATGGCACCTGGTATTGTTGGCCACTGTGTGACAGAGTGTTGGACTGGACGGGCCATTGGCCTGATCCAACATTGGCTTCTCTTATGTTCTTAAAGCACCTCTGCTCGCCTTGAAAACCCAATGAGGGGGTCATTGTAAGTTGGTTATGACTTGACGGCACTTAATTATTAGTTATTTAGATATTTACAGCCCATTTTTCTCCCCAACGGAGATGCAAATCAGCTTATACCCTCATTTCCCCTTCCTCCACTGTATCCTCGCAACCGTCACTCCGTGAGGTGGGCTTTGGCCGAGAGAGAAAGAATGACTGACCCAAGGTCACCCAGTGAGCCTTCCATGTTAGGGCGAGGATCTGAACCCGTGTCTCTGAGATCCTGGCCTGACACGCTATAGCCACGGCATCCCATTGGCTCTCCAGGTGTTAAGCTGGCATTTAAATGACCCTCAGACATATCTGACAAAATGAGCTTTGATTCACACCACTTTATACCCTGGGAAATTTCCTTGCATTTTAAGGTACTACCGGGCTCCCATTTTTGTTCTACTCAAACACTGATACAGAAAACTCTCTCTTTCTTCCGTCTGAAACATCACTGCGGGAGGAACGTGCCCTCAACGTATTTTGAGTGCAATTGCCTTGAAATCCCACTGAAATTTAAGTGGAATACCACCTCAGATCTCGTTCCTGCCTGGACTCTGTCACTGAATTAAAATAGCAACAAAATCTGAAGGGTGGAGGTAGGAGGAAGAGAGACACAATCCACTCGCAGGACACAAACTGCAGCCCATTAGGAATGTAGTAGAATATTAATAACCCTACCACTTAGCCGGCATCACACAGCGGCTGGGAGAATGAGTTCTGATCCAGGAAGCTTCCAGTGCAAGTCTCAGCTCTGCCACGGTCTTGTTAGGTGGCTGCAAGTGAGCCATAGTCGCCCTAACTCACATCTGCAAAATGGGGATCAAAATGCTGGCCAACCCGACCGGACTGTTGTGAGGATTACAAGCAATGCTCCTTCTAAGCTACGGAGTCCTGTGAGCAAAAATTCTACTTTCTGAGCTACTGGCATGAAAGTTGTGAGCGAGCGATTTGGCTCCTGCATAAATGAGTTTGCTCTGGAGCTATCCTTCCAGAGGTAAGACAAAAATGTGTGATCTGGAGGCTAGAAAACTGTGAGCTAGCTCACACTAACTCAGCTTAGAGGGAACACTGATTACAACAGGGTTTAACACTGAAAGTCCCATATAAATTATTATTATTATTATTATTATTAATAATAAACATGCTCTTTCAACCGTCTGACCCATAGATCTGTGCTTTGTCAGGGTAACCAGTCCAGGGCTTTGAAAAACTAAAACACGCTTGTGCCTGTCAAGATGAAATCAAAAGGCAATGCTCTGCCTAAATTCTTTGAGCGATGCCCCAAAAACAGACCTGCAAGATTGGCCGGCGTTCTTATGCCCCAACTGCAGATAAAGATAAAGATGGGGAGATTTCTCGGCCCTCAGGCACTTTCAGAGTCTTTCACCAGCTGGTGAAAAACAGGAACGCGGTCCGCCCCCTAGGCCGAAGCCTTGGCTGTTTGTACTTTCCAACCTACGCTGGCCAGAAAACTGAGCAATCTCTGTCTGGAGGTGGAACTTCGACAGATCATCTGACCAGGCCCTGTGAGCGTCGGCCATTCCTTGCTCGGCCACACGGGGCACTCGGCTGTTTGTTTATAAGGAAGGGGGAAGCCGAACGGTCGTTGTGTGGGTAGGAGGGGGGGGCATTTTGTGCCGACATGGGCCGGAAGCAAGACAGACAGGTGGGAAGACGGAGCCGAGGCCTTTTCCACGCCTCTGCCATTTCACCCCTTCCGGACACTTTTGATTTCTGTCTCTCTCCCTCACTGCCTTCGTATTTCTCGCCCTTGGGATGGTGGCTGAGCTTTCCACACAAATCCCTCTCCCCAGGCCGGGAATCAGGGCTGCGGGGTCGTCCGTAACCCTCCCTTATCCTTCCCTCTCAACTCTTTTAACTTTTCCCCTCTCCCTCTTTAACTTTGCTCCTCAGGTGTTCTGCTGTCCGTACTGCAACTTTGTTGACCAGGCGGCCGAAGCGGTGCGGGCTCACACCATCTCCCAGCATGCCGTGCAGCCCAAGTTCCGTTGCCCGCTGTGCCAGGAGCAGCTGGTGGGCCGGACGAACCTCCATTTCCACCTCAGCCACATCCACAACGTGGTGCCCGAGTGTGTGGAGAAGCTTTTGCTGGTGGTAAGTACGAGCGTGTGTGAGTGGCCGGTCTCTTCTCCCCTCTGGTTTTCTGGCAGGGCTGCTGGGATTGGCCGGGAGGGATTGGGAGAAGGGCCGTTGCCTGAAGTGCAGGGGAACAGCTTGACCTGTTGGATGGGCTTTCAGGCCGCTGCAGCCAAGGGACGGGACCAGGAAACTCCACAGCAACTAGGAAGGGGGTGAAGACAGCGCGCCACGCGAGGGCTGTGGGGAGGGTCTTGCCAATGACAGGACTGGGGCGGGGCCATCATCGGCCTCATTTCCTCCAGGAGAATCAGCCTCTTTCAGGACACCTCGGCAGCGAATCAGTGATAACCAGTGTTCCCTCTAGGCTGAGTTAGTGCGAGCTAGCTCACAGCTTTTTAGCCTCCGGCTCACACGTTTTCGTCTCGGCTCAGGAAGGATGGGGCTCCAGAGCAAACTGATTCATGCAGCAGGCAAATCCCTCGCTCACAACTTTAATGCCGGTAGCTCACCAAGTAGAATTTTTGCTCACGCGACTCCACAGCTCAGAGGGAGCACTGGTGATGACCTTGATTTTTTTACTCCAACCACTCCGCCTTCCCTTCCTTCTCATTCCCCAGGCCACCACTGTGGAAATGACCTTTGCCACCAAAGTCGTCCCAGGGCCCAGCCTCCCTCCCGACCCACCGAAGCCAGACGGGACTCCCAGCCCAGAGCAAGGGGGTGCAAACGAACCCCCCCAAAGCCCACTTGTCGGTAAGCCGGGACTCATGCAGAGACAGCTGGGGGAACTCCGTGGTTTTTTTTGTTTTGTTCAGAGTAGTACCAAGATCTCAGGAATCGCTCTGTTTTTGTCTTATTCAACGCTTTTGGGTTTTTTATCTCATCCTCCGTGGTGAGAGTGTGTGCCCCCCCGCCCCGTTATCACTCTCTGAAGATAGGCTGAGCAAGACCGGCTAGCTCAACGTGACCCAGTCATCTTCATGGCTGGATGGGGACTCTAATCTGGGAGAACCGGGTTCGATTCCCCACTCCTCCACTTGCAGCTGCTGGATGACCTTGGGGCAAGCCATAGTTCTGTCAGAGCTGTTCTCTCAAGGGCAGTTCTCTCAGAGCTCTCTCAGCTCCGCCTACCTCACAGGGTGTCTGTTGTGGGGAGGGGAAGGGAGAGGAGTTTGTGAGCCACTCTGAGACTCCGAGTGAAGGGCGGGGTATAAATCCAATCTCTTCTTCTTCTTAGTCCAACACTAACTACTAACACCACACTCTCCTCTGCCCAGTCAGCCTTTCAGTTTAAGCTCTTTCCAAGCTGGTTTGTCTCTTTGGCTCCAGCCCCCTCTCCCAACGGCCTCTCTCAAAGGAAGTAGGAAAAGCCTGCTGCTAGGTCAGTCAACAGCTCAGTGGTTCTTCACCATGCCCCATTCAGGACACCACCGCCGTATTTCTCAAGCTTTCCCTTCAGGAGGGACAAGGGTTAGGAGCTTGCTGGCTGGTTCCGAAACCAAAGGGTGAAGATTCCGCAGACGCCATAGATGCAACCAGCGATGAATGGGCAGCCGTAGAGATAACGCAGTACAAATACGAGCCCCGGAGGGACACGACGGCAGCATAGGGATATATGTTAAGGATAAAGAGAAGGGTTGGTTCTTCCGCATCCCAAATGCAACCAACCCATTTATGCAAATGTAGGTTTTGTCTATGCTTTTGACCCAACGGAAGCTATTCTGATAAGAACATAAGAGACGCCAATGTTGGATCAGGCCAAAGGCCCATCCAGTCCAACACTCTGTATCACACAGTGGCCAGAAATACCAGTGCCATCAAGAGGTCCACCAGTGGGGCCAGGACATTAGAAGCCCTCCCACTGTTGACCCCCCCCCAAGCACCAAGATGACAGAGCATCACTTGCCCCAGAGCCCCTATCTATACCTTGTGGCTAAGAGCCACTGATGGACCTCTGCTCCATATGCCTATCTAATTCCCTTTTGAAGCCGTCCATGCTTGTAGCCGCCACCACTTCCTGTGGCAGTGAATTCCAAGAGTTAATCACTCTTGGGGTGAAGAAGGGTGATCTGGGCGTTCGAGTAAACTTGGACTTTGATTGCAAGGGTAGGGAGTCGGTAGGGGGAGATCTAGGAAGGGGGAAAGATAGTTGCACAGACACAATCACACACGAAACTGCCTTGTCCTGAATCTGACCACTGGTCCATCCAGGTTCAGGATTGTCAACTCAGACCGGCAGTGGCTCTTCAGGGTCTCAGGTACAGGTCTTTCCCACCACCTGTTGCCTGGTCCTTTTGACCTGGAGATGTTGGGGGCTGAACCTGCAGCCCTCTACATGCCACAGCCCCTCCTCAAAGAACACATGAAGCTGCTTTAGACTAATTCAGTCCATTAGTCCTTCAAGACCAGTATTGTCTACTCAGACGGGCCGTGGCTCTCCAGGTAGAGAGGAATTTCACAACATTACCTACTGCCTGGTCCTTTTAACTGGAGATGCTGGGGACTGAACCAGGGACCTTCTGCACGCCAAGCAACTTGTTCTCCCACTGAGCCACGGCCACACGATTCTTCACTAGGTGGCAGATTCGACCTTTCTGCAGCTGGTCGGTCAGTGGTCGACATGATCCTGGGTGTCCCTTGTGCACCCCAGCCAGCCTCAGAAAAGTCATCCTAATGTGGCAACTGGAGGGTCTTGTTTAGTCAGGGCTCTCTCTCAAGATCCACACGTGCCCTGTTCTGTGGTGAGGGGGAACAGGATGCTTCCCGTTGAAATATTTCTAACAATCCCGTTTTCCTCCCTCTGTCCCTTCCCCAGCACCGCCCACCGGGGACAGAGCTCCTTCCGCTCCGGCGCCGTGCCCTGAAACGCCCCCGGCTGCCGCTCCTTCCCCAGCGCTGCCTGCAGACCCTCCAGAAAAGCCACCTTCCACCTCTTCCACCCCTCCCCCACCCGCTCCCCCCGAGGCCGAAGACGAAGACCCTCCTCGCCCGAACGCCCCACCCGAGGAGCAGCCCCTGCCGCCATTGCAGGCCCCGGCGGATCCTCCCGAGGCCTCGCCGCCTGCCCAGCCGAGCCAGGATCCCCGGCACCCGCTGTCCTACCGCAAGGCAACCAATTTTGCCTTAGACAAGTTCCTGGACCCCGGCCGCCCATACAAGTGCACCATATGCAAGGAATCCTTCACCCAGAAGAACATCCTCTTGGTGCACTACAATTCCGTCTCCCACCTCCACAAGATGAAGAAGGCTTCGGCTGACCCCTCGGCACCCTCCAGAGGCGAACCGGGTGCCCCCGGGGCTCTCCAGCCGTCCTCCGACAAGCCTTACAAGTGTACCACCTGCCGGGTGTCCTACAACCAGAGTTCCACACTAGAGATTCACATGCGGTCGGTTCTGCACCAGACCCGCTCCCGCGTTGCCAAGATGGAAGCTGCGGGCAAAGCCGAGGCTGCGTCGGCTGAGGCGGAGCCCCCGAGCGAGGCACCCCCAGAAACAGAGGCACCCAAGCTCTTAGAAGCTGGCTGCATGCCAGTACCGGCTCTCCCCTTTTTGGCGCCGCCCACGGCAGAGCTACAGCACTTCCCCACGCCCATATTTACACCGCCATTGCTGCCGCCCTTCCCGTTGGTCCCGGAGTCGCTCCTAAAACTGCAGCAGCAACAGCAGCAGCTTCTGCTCCCCTTTTATTTACACGACCTCAAGGTGGCCCCCAAACTGGCTTTAGCGGCACCGGCACTCACCCTCCCCACCACTCCACCCGTACTGTTGCCACCGCCCCCAGCCAAGGAGGAACAGCCCCCCGCAGCGAGCAGTTCGAAACCAGAGCCGGCAGAAGAGGCAGAAACAGAGGAGGCAGAGGGGTCTCAGCTGGGGAGCGAGGCGTCCCGCACAGCAGCCAAGGCCCTTCTGGAGAACTTTGGGTTTGAGCTCGTTATCCAATACAACGAGGGCAAGCAACCGGCAGCGGTGGCGGCTCCAGCTGTCCCCCCTCGACCCCCAGCGGGCAAGCTGCAGTGCGGCACGTGTGGGAAACAGTTCTCCAACATGCTCATCCTGAAAACACATGAGGAGCATGTACACCGGCGCTTCCTGCCTTTCGAGGCACTCAATCGTTATGCTGCCCAGTTCCGGAAGAGTTATGACAGTATGTATCCACCACCGCCACCCACACTCCCTGTTGAGACCACCACCACCACCGTTGCTGCTCCCACAACCACCGTTGCTGCTCCCGCCGCTGCCACCACAGAAACCTCAACCGTCACTGTCCAACCACCCTCCATTCCTTTGGAAATTCCCTCCCTCTGCCCTCCTTTTTTAATGCAACCCATGCCAGTGGCAGTTCCAGCACCCGACAGTGAGACTCCTCGGGTGTCTCCAGAGCGCTTGAAATCTCTCTGGTTTCGTGGTGAGGACGAGGAAGGTGGAAATTTCTCTGCGGGTCCTGATCCTTCCCGGAGTGGCTTCCACACCACCCGGCGCTTCTCCCGCACTAAATTCACGGAGTTCCAGTCTCAGGCTCTGCAGTCCTTCTTCGAGGCCAGCGCTTATCCCAAAGACGGCGAGGTCGAGCGTCTGTCAGTGGTCTTGGGCTTGCCAAATAGGGTTATCGTGGTTTGGTTCCAAAACGCCCGCCAGAAGGCCCGCAAGTGCGGCAGCGAAACCGGGGTAAGTAGCGGAAGCACCGGGGTGCAACCCACCTGCAAGAAGTGCCGGACGTCCTTCCGCTGCATCTTTGAGCTGATACGTCATCTCAAGAAGTGCTACAACGACCAGCACGAGGAAGGGGAAGCAGACTGTGCCGAGGAAGAGAATGAGGCTCACGAGGAAGAAGAACAGGAGGAGGAAGAAGAAGAGGAACAGCAGCAGCAAGAGCCTTCGGCAACTGATGGAGACCCTAAGGCGGATGGAGCTGGAGACAAAGTCCCCGAGGAAGAGCTCCCCTCTCCAGAAGCCGTGCCAGAAAGCTCAGCCAGTCACCCCTGCGAGCAGTGCCCAGCCAAGTTCTCTAGTGCTGACCTCCTCAATGCCCACCATGTTAGTCACATGCCGGCGGCCGGTCCTTCATCAGCTACCATCACCACCATCGGACCCCCCCAACAACTCCTGGACTTGCCCCCCTTGCTGTTTGGCGAGCGCACACCTCACCCCGATCCCTCCCGTGCGCAGAAGCGGAAACACGAGGACGGGAGCTTGTCGCCCACTGGCAGCGAATGTGCCAGCATGGCAGGAGGGGACAGCGAGCCCCCGCGGGACAAGCGCCTGCGCACCACCATCTTGCCCGAGCAGCTGGAGATTCTATATCGCTGGTACATGCAGGACTCCAATCCGACCCGGAAGATGCTCGACTGCATCTCGGAAGAAGTGGGGCTTAAAAAGAGGGTCGTCCAGGTGTGGTTCCAGAACACGAGAGCCCGGGAGAGGAAGGGCCAGTTCCGCTGCAACACCAGTGCTGCCGTTCCAACCACCAAGCCCTCAACGGCACTCCCTACCGCCTTCCCAAAGTTCAACCCTCCACCGCGAGACCCGCCCATCCTTTTTGGAGCTGCCTTCGCTCCCAGCCTCCCTGCGGTCCCTGCCCAGCCGCCACCGCCAAGCAAGCTGGAAGTTCCTGTGGATTCACAAACACAGGACGAAGCAGTCGAAGAAGAGGTGCCCAAGGAGAACGAAGACAGAAGCTTGTCAGGAGGGGAACTGAGCGATTCGTCATCCTCGTCCTCTTCTCTGGCTGACCTGGATTCCCCGGGCAGCCGACGGAGTCGAGCGATGGAGGGTGGTCCTGGAGGCATCCATGACCCCCTGGGTCAGCGCCGGTACCGCACCCAGATGTCCAGCCTTCAACTTAAAATCATGAAGGCTTGCTACGAGGCCTACCGGACTCCCACCATGCAAGAGTGCGAGCTCTTAGGCGAAGAAATCGGGCTGCCCAAGCGAGTGATTCAGGTGTGGTTCCAGAACGCCAGGGCCAAAGAGAAAAAGGCCAAGGCGGCCTCGGGCAGTACCAGCGGGGGCGACGAAGGGCCTCCCAGCACGCACACTCAGTCAGAATGCCCCTACTGCAAAGTCAAGTATGATTTCTACGTGTCCTGCCGTGGGCACCTCTTCTCCCGTGGCCACCTGGCCCGACTCAAAGAGGCCATCAAGGCGCAGCTCAAGAGTGAGAGCAAGTGCTACGAGCTGGTCCCCGACAAAGGGGCGCCATCCCCAACAAGGCTAGGCGCCTCTTTGCCCCCCACCACCATGCCGCCGTCCCTTGGGAGTATGGCCTCCTTTGTGCCAGGTGAGTGGTAAAAGAGGTAAGGTATGTTGGAGATAAGATGGGAAGGGGTTCTTTTGCTTTCCCTCCTCGCCCTCTCCTAGAATCATAGAGTTGGAAGGGACCTCCAGAGTCATCTAGTCCAACCCCCTGCACAATGAAGGCAATTCACAAATACCTCCCCCCACACACACACCCCCAGTGACCCCGGTCAAAGTGGCCTGGAGAAAAATTGCTTCCTGACCCAAGTGGCGATCAGCATTTCCCTGGGCGTGTAAGAAAGGGCCACGAGAACTAAGCACTGAGGCAACCCTTCCTGCCCTCCCTCTCCCGATCTGCCGAAGTTCACACAATCAGCATTGCTGTCAGATGGCCACCTAGCCTCTGTTTGAAAACCTCCAAAGGAGGAGAGCCCACCACCTCCCGAGGAAGCCTGTTCCACTGAGGAACCGCTCGAACTGTCAGGCAGTTCTTCCTCATGTTTAGCTGAAAACTCTTTTTGATTTAATTTCAACCCGTTGGTTCTGGTCCGACCTTCTGGGGCAACAGAAAACAACCCCGACCATCCTCTAGAGGACAGCCCTTCAAGTTCTTGAAGAGGGTGATCATATCAGCTCTCGGTCATCTCCTCGCCAGGCTAAACATACCCAGCTCCTTCAACCTTTCCTCATAGGACTTGGTCTCCTGATACCATCCTGACATCTTTGTCCCTACAGTTCATGCCGTATCTACCCTTTTGAGTGCAAGGCGCCAAATGGCTTCTCTCTTGCAGCTTGTCTATGGCCTCATTTTTATTCCCATTTGTTGACTTCTCCCACCCCCCGTTTTGCTTTTACCCTCTCGCGGGCTTATTCCCACCTCCTTTGCCCCTCCCACCCCAATATGTTGCGGGAGTTTGGGGGGGGCGGTGCGGTGCAGGTAGAACAGGATCTTCATCCTCCGACAATGCTGCCTGTATCCGTATTGGCCAAAGATTCCAGACCGAATGCAGTGCCAGAAACGAAAGGATTATCTATCCCAGCAACTGAAGGAAGCAGTTATTGGATTGGGGAGGGGTTCTCCCGTCACCTTACGGAGACGTGAGCCTTAAAACAGGGGTCCCCTACTTCCTTGAGCTTGTGGGACACAGGGTGGTGGATGTGACCACAAAATGGCTGCCCCCGAAGGCGGAGCTTGCCACTCCATGTCAGCGAGGGAGGTCATGGATAACTCTTGATAGTAACTCCTCAACACTTCAGGAAGGAGCTCTGTTTGACGGGATGCCTTTTAGTATTCGCGTATTGTTTAAAAGTATTTCCTTGTACGCACACAGCTTGCTTTCAGTTATACAGTAAAGAGGCCCTGAGCTGTGGTGGCAGCTGCTGCTGAAGCAATTTTTAAAAGATCTGCTTGGCCAATCAGAAGCCCTGCCGGGCACAAGCCCCACCCGGCCCGGTTTCTAAAAACACTTGTCGGGCACGAGAGAAGGTGTTACCATGAGACCCAACAGACACTATGTTGGGGATTCCTGCCTTAGGACACCCATAGATATTTGTGGATGGGAGATGTCGGTTGGGTGGGGAGAAGGATGACAGCTAACGCTGATTTTTCCCCCCCCTGCCTTCCCAACAGGCCCTTCCTCTTCTTCCTCTGGTGTTTTGAGCACCCCACTGGCCTCAGCCCAGCCAGGCCCGCCCTTACCTCAGCGCCTCACGCCAGAACCGGCCCAGCTCGGCCCCTCGACGGAGCCTGCTCCTGCTCCAGAGACCTCTCCGACCGACAGTCAGGCGGACCCGACTTCAAGTTCAGCCCCAGAACCCTCCTTGTCCTCCACTGCCACGCTGAAGAACCTCAAGACGCTGAAGGCCACGGTGCCGGCCCTGCTGGGTGGCCAGTTCCTGCCCTTCCCGTTGCCGGCAGCGACCGCAGCGGCCCCCTCGCTCTTCGGAGCCCAGCTGCCCGGGGCCTACTTCCAGCAGCTCTACGGCATGAAGAAGGGGCTCTTCCCTATGAACCCTGTCATACCTCAGACACTCATGGGGCTGCTGCCCAACCCCTTGCTCCCGACGCCCGCACCCGAGCCGCCCGTCGAGGTGTCCGAGGCCCCTGGCATCTCTACGGTTGACGTGACTCACCAGTACCTTTGCCGCCAATGCAAGGCAGCCTTTGATAGCGAGGGGGCGGCCGCCGCCCACCAGGCCGCTTTCTGCTACTTTGGGCGCCAGCCGCCGGCAGCCCCACCCCCGCTGCGCGTGCCCGTGTGCACCTACCACTGCCTGGCCTGCGAGGTGCTCGTGAGCGGGCGCGAGGCACTGGGGGCTCACCTGCGCTCCAGCGCTCACCGGCGCAAGGCCGGATCCAACGCAGCAACTGCATCGGTGTTTGCCAAAGAGGAATCCAAATTACCTCACTCGGACTCCAACCCAAAAAGTAACGCTACCTCTACGACACTTCTAGCTTTATAGAGACGGATGCCACACTGCCACCCATTGAGAGAGAGTGACAAACCAACTAGCCAGTAGGGGGACGGGCACCCACTCGGGTGTCCCCTCTGCCCCGTACCCACAAACCATCCCTCAACACCCTACCCAGCCATGACCCGTTTTTATGGCCAGCAAGGATAGATGACCAATATGTTTGAGAGACAGCCTCTTGCCACCTGTCCAAAGCCACACCCACTGCCCTAAAGAAGCACCCTCTATCCCAGCCTATTGGCATCTGCATGGGCAAGATAAATTCAACTTTGCAGCCGTCCAGCCCAAACCTCACCCATCCTGTGCAATCCGTCCCAAGGGAAGACCAGCTGACCTTCAGCTGAATAGACACAATCTCCCTGTTGAGAACCCCAGACCCTAAAGATGCCATCTTTAGAGCGGCCTTGTACCGTCCACAAAAGAGTGTGTCTAGTTCCTTCAGCCATTCGTGTCTTCTTGCATTGGTCTGCTGCCCTGCCCCCAAACCCTTGCCAATACGGCTGCTGTATGGCTAAACCCGTCCCTTCCGTGACCCACCTTACATATCAACTAAATGCAGACTCCTCACACCTCTCCTCTCTTACACCCAGAAAAGGATAAACGGATTTTACGTGGACATCCATACCTTCCCAAATCCAACATGGATTCCAAATCCACACTCTCTGCCACCTACCTGTGTATTCTGGTCTTCCATCTCCTGCGGCATACCCATGTGATTCGGATGTGAGAGACACACAAGAGACTTTACTTCTCTCACACCTTTATGTTATGGACTCCTAATGCCCTCGCCCTGTCCCTCAGAGACTGTTCACATATTCTCTCAGGAACGTCTCAAGGTGACCTCTGCCACTTGAACACCTTCAGACGTTCCTCAAACGTTGGGCTCCTCACCTTAGAAGGTGAGCACTCTCTTCCTTCCGAAGCTTTTGTATGTAAAGATGGCACTGTCTCTCTCTCTTTCTCTGCTTGTGACTACACAAGCACCCTAAAACTCAAGTTCCCTGCTCCCGCTCATATCGGCACATGTGGCCCAAAGCCCTCTCTACCACATGTGTGCGCCAGAGTCGCACTTCTCTCTCCACCCCACCCAACAGCCGCTGGCACGTTCTTGACACATGTACCCTTGTGCACCCAGACTCCTCTCTCTCACACACACACACACTTTTTACACACACCGCTTGAATTCCCTCTGTCACATTCACCTCCTACTCTTTTACTGTGTTACTGACTGAGAAAGGCCAAAAAAAAGAAGCAAAGCAAACAAAAAGAATGGACAGAAAGAAAAAAATTATTAACCCAAGGAGACAAAACTTAAGGGGGGAGGGGGGCAAAGATGAGAAACTGAGTCCCCCACCCACCCTGCACCCCCCTCCCAGAGCATGCTCCACCCATTGTGTATAAAAGAAAATTACCGTCAAAGACGGATGGACAGATTCCCGAACTGTTGATGGATTTGAACGACTTGAACAGCAACCAAACAGGGAAAGAAGGAAGGCGTCTCTCTTCTTTCCCACCATTTTTCCTCTCTCTCTCTCTCTCTCTCTCTCTCCTCCTCCTCCTCCTGTTCCCAGGTGGGTCTTTATGTCCACTGGGGAACCAAATAAAACCAACAACCTCGCTGTCTTTTTCCTCCTGATAGACGTGACTTCCGTCTCTGCGCGGGAAACGACACAAATCTACTCCGATGGCTTTAAAAAAGAAAGAAAGAAAAAACAAGAAGGAACCTCCCGTCACACACGAACTCGTACCCGTGTGCCGACGTCCTCGCAAAAAAAGAGAAAAAAAAAAGAACACAAACCCTCTTATGAATCCAAAGCTCTTAAAAAACTTTACAATAACCAAAAAAGAGAAACGAAAACCAACCGTGAGAGAGAGAATTTACCCACCAACAAAAAAAGGAATAATAAAAAGCAACCTGGATTTTTTTTGTTTTTTTTTAAAAGACATGAGATGAAGAGAAAAAAAAGAAAAGAAAAAGAGAACCCCTTACGTTTTCCCTCCTCTGTGTCAATTCTTTTGGGGTTTCTTTTCATATTCTTTTCATCCTCCCCCTCAAGTCCTTTTCGATGCCCTCCCGCCCAACAAAGATGGACGTGAATTTTAAGAAGTTGATGAAACATGGAAACCTGTGGGGTAAAGAAGGGGTTACAAAACAAAAAAACTCCCACAAATAACCAAACCAACGACACATGGGGTGTTAAGGAGGGATGGGGGTTTATAGAACGGCTCGCCCTCTGGACCACTCTGTTTTTTCTCAGACACCCTTCTCTCCCTACAACTCTACACCCCAAAGTGAGGGGGGAAATGTCTTTCTGTTGTGTATTTAAAAGGGGGGGTTGGGGAACGATTAAAAAAAAATAAAAAGAAATAAAAATTATATTAAAGAAATGATCTGGAAAAAAATCCAAAAAAACCCACATGCTTTTGACAGGAGGTGGTGGCTCCAAAGAATAACAATATTGATCTTCTCTGAGTTTGGTATGTCTTTTGTAAAGTGTTGTGGATTATTTTTTAAAAATGAGCTGCCGAAGGCATCCTTCTCTTGATTCTACCTTCTCGTATGTCGCCACATGCTTTGCCTGTATGTAGTTGGACGTTCACCCTAGATTTGTCTACAAGGGGCAAATCAAAGCTAGTTCTTTCATAAGGAGACATGGAGCCCGCGAATGACCAGGGGCTTCATTATTGCCATGCTAATCTTTGTTAACGAACACGACACATTCCTGGGGAAGCCAGGGTCTGAGAGAGTTACCAATTCAGAGCGAGCCCGTTCAATGGATCCCTATCTCCGCGTGTAGAAATCGAAAGTGTTAATTTGCAGTTAATGAGTCCTGACTTATCAGCTCTTCATTAAGACGAAGCTAGACAGGCTCTCTTCGGTTTTCTCTCTCAGATTCTTGAGTTTTTGACGAAAGGACCCCCTAGAAATATTTTTCTATAGAACGTCCAAAAGCAAGCTACCTTTGTGAAGAAGGGGAAAAAAACCCTCTTTCAGTCAACACAAATGGTGAGGTGGGGAATCCACACAGATCTACAAGACTGAGGAGGGGAAAAGAAAATGCCTAAGATGGCTACTAGCATAAGCACAAAGCACGCCTAGACTATTTCCCAGCCACCGTTTTGAGCCCAACCTGAAAATCTTTGTAGATCTCTAACGGCAGCTTGGTAGCTGGGGGAATTTCCCATAGTCTAGATATGAGCATTTTTACTCCATGGCCTACGCACCCACAGTTCACATGAAACTAGTGTGGGGTGGCACCTTCAAGACAGTTTCATTGTGGTGCCGGAGACTCAGGGCTATTTTGGGGCAGGAACGCACAGGAACGGAGTTCCGGCTGGCTCCCAAGTTGGCCACACCCAGCAGGAACTCATTAGCGTAATAGGCCACACCCAACAGCAGGAACTCATTAGAATTGGCTACATTAGGGGTGTGTGGCCTAACATGCAAAAGAGTTCCTGCTACAAAAAAAGCCCTGGGTTTTGACAACAAACAAGGTCAACAGAATAAGAAGCAAAAGGTGGGTGTGGCTGGATGAGCACACTTCTGGTGACATGGGAATGCGGCTTAATATGCTAATGAGTGGTGCAGGCAGTGGTGTGGCCTAATATGCTAATGAGTTCCTGTTGGGACTTTTTCTACAAAAAAAGCCCTGCGGAGACCCATTTTGTCAAGAGCATCTTCAGACTGAAAAATATATATATAAATGGATATTGATGGAGAAAACGGTGAACTCCACCACTGACCTTTCCTCCCTCTGTATCCATGTCCATAACTGCGGTTTCACTTCAGGCCTCTAGCTCACGAAAGGAGCTGTCAAAAAATAAATCTTCCAGATGCTACAGGTAGGGAGGCCAGAGACCTCCCAGAATTACAGCTGTTCTCCAAACTACATAGCCTGCTTTTTATTTATATATTTAAAACATTTATTCCACTTCTGGAGGAAATGGCTGCTTTGGAACATGGCCTGTGTGGCATTATGCCCTTCCGAGGTCCCTCACCTCCCTAAACTCCATCCCTCCCAGGCGCTGTCCACAAATCTCCAGGTGTTTCCAAACCCCGAGTTGGCAAACCTAGTCACAGGACACCTTTCCGTTGATGTTTGGCCAAGGGTTCTGGCCCTCACCCCATGTGGCAGTCAATGCTCCCTCTAAGCGGTGGAGTCCTGTGAGCAAAAAATCCTACTTTGTGAGCTACTGGCATTAAAGTTGTTGTGAGCGAGTGATTTGGCTGCTGCATCCTTCCCGTGCTAAGACAAAAATGTGTGAGCCGGAGGCTAAAAAACTGTGAGCTA